CCCCCCCCTTCCCTCCACGCGCGAAATAAGTCACGATATTGTATAAACTTAACTAAGAATGAATGCAATTTATTATAAAAAAAAGCTTACCCATATTTAAACGCACCTTTTTACTAGTTCAACTATGATTGGTTAGTTCCATTTTATCCTTTTCCTTTACACACACCAGCTTGACAAATTCCAAGCTTTTTTTTGCACCTTTGTCCTGTAAGAGTGCTGAGATATGCACGATCCTCATAATTCTGAAATCAACAAGAGCATTCTACACTACTCCTGTAAATACAAAGTGCAACCTAAGTGTTGGCGACGCTGCACATTTAAAATATTCGCCTAATCATATGCCTAACGCATTTTTTCCAGCCAAGAGCTTATTACTGATGTAGTTAGTCGTAAGATTTGCTTTCCGAATCGCTTCCGCCGCGGATTTCGATCGTACCACCGCACGGGTTAATGAACTACGTAAAGTAAGGGGATTCACTAAAATAGCATCATCCATCCGGGTCGAAAGATAAGGCGCGGGGACGTTGGAAGTGGACTCTAGAGCATGAGTTTCCCATCCTTCTTTCTTTTCACGCTTCCTCGAGGTGGAATCCTGCGTGGGATTCTTCCCTTCCAGAGTCTGACCCTCGCGACAAAGGCGCTTTGAAATCTCAGTCAAAGCATGATTCTCGGATGGGGTGACCCCTGAACACGTTTCCGTCTCCCTGCCAACAAATGAAGAGCCCTCCGTACCGAAATCGCTGTCATCGGCGTCTATTTCTTTCTCCCAAATGGGGGGGTTTGAGAAGGTTAGACTTCTTTTTGTCAAGTCCACCACTGTGTTGTGAATAGGATCCATGGCAACCCCAGTTTCCTCGTCAAATACAAACCTTCGGCCAAGCCCCACTAGGATACTTTCTCGCCGCTGCTGCGCTCGGCGCGCAATCCACGACGGATGAGGAAGAAGATAATTGTACTTCAACTGCAGCCGTTTGCCCTTCTTTTCGGCCTTTCGAGTGACGAGATTCTCGGATATAAGGTCGATTGGGGAGGGCCCCTGTTGATACCACGCTAACTTTTCGTCTAATAAGTGATGCAGTTTAAATTCCTTTGCACGCTGCTCAGCTTCTTCGTGTTCTTTAGAGCGCGTAAGGTTTAAAAAGCTACGCACCGCCTTACGCGTCATGCCTTCCACATTCATCCCGCGTGCTTTGCACTCTAAGATAGCCTGCCGATGCTTACTAGTCTGGTTCTGAGTTTCTTCACCCGATCGATTCCCCTTTGCACGGTCCTTTTGTTTTTGTTTGGCCTCTCGAGCGAGTTTGCGGTCCGCGGGGGAGCTGAAGAGGTAGGAAAAGGTGAAACCGCCGCCGTCTTGATCGTCCTCGTCACTTTCATTCCAACTACTGCCGCCTTTATTGGGTGGTTGGCGAGCGGAAGCGGAGGAGGATGCGCCGGATGCGGGGGTTTCGTTGGTTGTTTGTTGAAGATCATTTGCCATTCGCAGCGCGATATCGACCGATCCGTCCGATACTCGTTTCAAACTGAGGCCGGAGATAAACCCATTCCATTCTCGCTTCCACGCATTATCCCCCTTCTCAACCTTCGCCGCGTAGCGCTTGCGATGATGGGGAGTGTGCAGTTCTGAAGATGGCATGTGTATATTGCATTCGTAGTAGAATACTCTAATTTGTGGTGTAAAGGTGAGATCGTGAGGAAGGGATTGGATTCAAAGATGAGATCAAAGCATATTTACCCATTGAAAATCGTGCCCTTTGGCATGACTTCACTATAAGCATTAGACCCTTGTGCGACTGTAGGGGTAAACCCCAAATTACTTGTATACATATTTGCAAAAATATTCCTCTGTAGGCCCTCCTGTGAGGCGACATTTCAGAGCAACAACGTGAAAATTATTAAGCAAAAAGTATCCATGGGTAAAAACACATAACCGCATCAGTCCATAGAAGAAAATATATAATAGCATCATCAGAAATAGAATTTATATTTTCTAATATGATAAACATACACATCGCAACATCAAAAAGAAATATTTTATGATAAACTTCAGTAGGAAAACCATCCTGAACGATAATTTATAGAATTGTATATCTTAGTGATTTATTTTTTCATTCAATATAATATTTCTCAAATCCATGTGTTTGCAGAAGCGAACTCCACAACATTATAAGGAGACGCTTAGGTAAAATAATCAAAAAAAATAACCACATAAATGAATACACATAAATATCTCATTTGCATAGATGTGTTTTTTTATTTTTAAAGCAGCATTTTTTTATCCTTTAGCAATTAAAATAATAAACGCAAAAAGCCTTTACTATGCTTGCCTAGAGATGGGTGCAATGAGCAAATCATCTTGCCAAGAAATGAATAAATAAGCATCAAGGTTCAGAATATATACAAAAATGGGTAAATCCTAAATTTACTTTGAACTAGTAAATTAAACCTCAGTAAGAAATAAATAACAAATGATCTTTTTTCTCTATACAGACAATCAGACTTACTCAAGAACAACACCAAGACCTTCCACAAAAGAAAAAAACGATTTAATACTAAAACCTATTTTTTATTTCCAGATATATCCTTCATTTCTTGATAAAACAACAACTTCCTTTTATTGCAAAAAAATATATAATGCCTTAACCTAAATATGGACATGTAAATGGGAAGCATCGATGGATGATGTTTCCTAAATATATATATATTTTCGCGCAACAACCGCATCGTTTATCGACTCACCATTCGGGAGACGCTAATATTTTTAAATTATTTTGCAATACTGTGAGTTACTTTGGATAGTGACGACTTTCATGGGGACCATGGACGAGAGAATACTCTAGAGACGATGTCCTACATTATACACGCGCCCCGACTTGCGGGCGGTGGTGGTGTGATGTGAAAGCGTAAGGGTGGTGCGTCTCCGACTAGATCGGGTCTTGGGAAAAGGTCTGGAGCCCTTTCAATTCGTCGGATGGGCAACTAAGAGTGCCCTCCGAGGGACAATGGGACCTCGGGCGGGTCAACTCCGCCTCGACCATCTGCCGCCCCTCGCGCGAGAGTTGGCAGACGTCGAGGTGCAGCCGACGAAGATTAGGGATGGTGCGCACGAGGCCCAACAAATCCTCCAGGCTCGCGTCCGTGAACGGGTTATGCGAGAGGTCGATCGCCTCGAGGGTAGGGTGAAAGCGCAGGGCGGGGACGAGCATCTGGACGGCGGGGTCGCCGAGCAGGTTCCCGCTCATCTCCAGCTCCCGCAGGTGGGAAAGCCGAGGCAGGATCCCGAGCAGGGCGCCCAGCCCGCGGTCCTGCAGGTGGATCCGCGAGAGCGCGAGCGTCGTGATCGCGCGATCGGCGCGGTCCTGCAGGGCGTCGAGCACCCGCGGCTTCGGCTTCACGTGCTGCGCGAGGCACCCCGCCAGGTAGGCGCTCCGCAGCGGCGCCGGCCGCGCCGAGAGCCGGGCGAAGTCGTCGTAGCTCCGCATCCCCCGCGCCAGGGCCGCGCCGACGCTGGCCTTGAAGCGGGCGAAGTTGTTGTGCAGGGCGAGCCGGTTCGCCGGGTCGGCGCCGTCGTAGTCGTGGCCGAAGACCAGCGCCAAGGCGTCCTGCAGGAGCTGCGCGCCGCTCTGCCGGTAATACGCCCGGTACAACATCGTAAGCCGGGCAAAAGGGTCGTACGGGGGGGGCGGGAGGGGGCGGGGGGGG